CTGCTACTGCTACTGCTACTGCTACTGCTACTGCTACTGCTACTGCTACTGCTACTGCTACTGCTACTGCTACTGCTACTCTGAGCAGATCAGCTAACTTACCAGTTGGATCCTGGTCACTTTGTTCATTGTTTTCTTGTTTTGAACCAATTAGGATTTCATTGTCATTGTCATCACTGAAGTTGGTGCCTCCATTATTCTGTCAGTTATATTAAGGTAGTCAGATTTAAAATAGCAAGTTTGTTTACCACTCTTCAATTGGCAAATAAAAGCCATTGGTCTGACCATGACATACCTCTTCGGAGCTCAGTACAGGATACTCAGTAATTTCACCTGAGCCACTGTTATCTTCTTGGTTTTCTACACGAGCAAGGAAAACAGTTAACATGTCACTACTATACTACTAAGAAGTGTAAATATACAGTGTAGGGGATTTGCTCTTCAGTAATACATACATTGGTCTACGTGGAGAAATTATGAAATTTCAGTGCTTCTTTTCGTGATGTGGAAAAAAAAGAACCGTGAATTCTTGAGCTGGAAATATGCTTTGCATTTCGAATGACATTTGTATGATTTTGCTTAACCAGTCTTGGCGGCATAACCTTCTCAAAGAAGAAGTGCTGTAAAAGAGAAATCACCTTGTGACTGGTTTGTGGAAGCTGAACCACTTTCAGAAGCCATGTCAAAGGAGGAAGGTGCCTGTTGGTAAGGAAGATGCCACATGATGAATTAGCACCGAAGAAAAGAAGAATGATACGAGAAGAATGTTCATTGTCATTACCATTTGTCTCATCGTCAGCGCCACTATGTATTCATCGGTCTAGTCGATCATCATCACCATCACCATCACCATCTCCACCATCACCATCTCTATCACCATCACCACCATCTCTATCACCATCACCATCACCACCATTACCATCACCACCATCTCTATCACCACCATCATCTCTATCACCACCACCACCATCATCACCATCACCATTCCTATCACCATCACCATCATCACTATCTCTATCACCATCACCACCATCTCTATCACCATCACCACCATCTCTATCACCATCACCACCATCTCTATCACCATCACCACCATCTCTATCAC